AACAGCTCCCTTCAGGCATGCTCTGATGAAGAAAAAGCATGGAGCAAACATATAAATCTTTGCTAAAACCTGAAGTGAAAAATTATTGCCCCTGTGATGCACCTTGTATAGATTTCAACTCTTTGCACATCTAGGAAAGACAGGATTTAAATACCTTTCTTTTCTACCTAGTATTGATGAGCAAATGTGTTCTATTATTCATAAGGCCCCTTCAGGCATGCTCTGATGAAGAAAAAGCATGGAGCAAACATATAAATCTTTGCTAAAACCTGAAGTGAAAAATTATTGCCCCTGTGATGCACCTTGTATAGATTTCAACTCTTTGCACATCTAGGAAAGACAGGATTTAAATACCTTTCTTTTCTACCTAGTATTGATGAGCAAATGTGTTCTATTATTCATAAGGCAATATTCAGTTTTAAAGAGAACTCCAAAGCATGAACTGAAATTCTTCTAAGTCAGATCCTTATTGCCTGCTCTTCAGTTATCAATCTTCCTGAAGTTCCAAGATAGGATTTTATCCTCTCCAGTCACACAAAAACTGCCTTCTCTCATCTGCATTTTTCAGATGAGACAGCCTCTTCTTAGACTGGGCATTTTTAAATTAACATCTATACTAAATAGCAGGATAAAATAAAATTCAATAGCTGGACTTCTGTATCTTTTGAGCAACCGACTCTTTGTGTATCTCATTCTTAGAAATGATGAATGAATGCTTCAGCTCCCCGGCTTTATCCCATAGGCTGCTTTTTTACAGTAGGCAATATCTATAAATTAGAGATAAAGCCCATAAATTAAACAGCAGCATTTTTTTAAAAAAAGACTTCCAGTTTCGTGTTGTGCAGTCTCTTTTGATCCCCATCACTGAGGGGGAAAGGTGAGAATCATCCAGCTGATAACGAAGTAGAAGAGGAAGATGGGGTAAACAACAAGAGCTTTGCGATTTGGAGGCTGGCTGTCGGCCAGAAAGGCTGTGGATGCTGGTGACAAAGAAAAAATACAGACTTGAAATGTGCACAAAACAAAATTAACACATTTTTCAAACTCAATCAGAAGCCAGTAAATGCTGCTAATTTAGGATCCAGTGTACATTTAAAGGTGAAGGGAAAAAGCTATAACAACATGAAGACTCCCACATTTTCTGCCCCAGCATGGCTATGATCATGCGCTGAGATGTGGGGAAGAGAAAACACCCTTTCTCCGCAAACGTTGGGAGCAACGTTTCCACAAAACCTCACCAACTTGGGGAACCCAAACCATGATCTCTTCCTCACCCATGCTACCAGCAGACTACTAGGCAGGCCCACCTTTCTTAACAGCAAAAGTACAAGTTTTAATTCCTTTGCATCCATAATACAATTCTGTTGCTAAAACTTTCTTACCTAGGGTTGACCAGGCAAACATTGCCATCACAACAACAAGTCGCACAATGAAGATGACAGTCCCTGAGCCTGCTAGTAGTACTAGCCTGCACACGAGCATAGCCACTGTCAGAGGGAGGACACAGTACCCCAGGACACAAAGGCTCTGAAAAAAAGATCTAGAGGGGAGGGGAGGGGGGAGGAGGGACATGGAGGAAGATAAGGAAGTTGTGTCAGAGTAACACAAATATTATCCACACACTGGAGCAATTCCATTGCTATTTTTCACATGTATACTCACATGGTTCCTCCAAGCAGTTTTGAGTTGAGTGTAATGACAACTGCTCCGAACCAGATGATCACAAAGACCTCAGCAAACTGGGGGCCTCCATCATCTTTACTGTCTGCTGACCCTCCCTGAAGCATCCTGAGGCAGAAAAAAAACAGCAAAATACTAGATGAACATAGAGCAGTAACTTGGTTTCATGTTTTATTTTTATCGTCTGTATTAAGCCTAAGAGATGATTCTCAGGTAGCTTGAAGCACATTTCTCTTTGAGTAGATAGCTGATCAGATAGGTATAGAAGAGAGAGGATGACAACTTCTGCCCCACGGTATTTATAGTGCAAGTTAGACAGACAAAAGGTGCTTCAGTAATACAGTAATGGGAGCTATGTCACAGTGGTTGGTCAAATGAAGGTCATCTTAATGAGATATGGAGGATTTGTTTATTTTTAAACAATATGGATGCAATGCTCACTTTGAGAGATCAATAAGGCAATGAGTTAGTCACAGAGGTCATAGCAGTCATGGACTTTATGACTTTACTGGACCTCTGTGACTTCTAATACTTCAGGAGGTGAGGCAGAACTGTGCATCCCTACCCTACCCCTGCTGGTTGGAACCAGGACCCTGCAGTCACAGCCCTGTGATTTCTGCTGAGAATTGCAGCTAGAGCCCATGAGACCCAGCTTCATGGCATCCTGGGCTTGGAATGTCAATCATACTCCCTCCTGCCCCCATGGAACTTCATCACCCCCCAGTTAATTTTTAGTAAAGTCATAGACGGGTCTCAGGCTCCATGAATGTTTGTTGATTGACCAGGGCCTATTTGGGACCTTTACTAAAAACAACCATGATAAAGTCTTATCCTTAATTAACAGACACATTTAGAAGGTTTTGAATGAGACAGGACAACACATGACTGACGCACAAACCTAAGAAAAGTCAGGAGGGCAGCATGTAAGAAGTTATGAATGAAGTAGTAATAGACTATGTCCCATAGATCAACAACCACTTTTCAAAGGCGGATTTTATCCCCATTTAACGAGAAACAATGAGTCAGCAGAGTTACAAGCAACAGAACTAAAGTCTTCCAATTTGGAGCTCTGAGTTCTATCCACTGAACCACAATATGACTGAAGTGGAAGCTTGGACAGATGAAACAAACAAATGTGACCTAAGTGAAAGGTAGCCCATTTAAAAAAAAAAAAAAATCACATATCTAAAACATTTTACTTACAACTGTCTCATGCAATACCAAGATTACTACAACTGAAAGATGAGAAAAATTTGTTCTTTTGCCCCTCAGTTTCTTTACTTTGTGCAGATGACAGTACTTTGTGTCTAATCAATTTCCCCCTTTTGTTGATGTAGACCCTTCACCTTTCACTTTTTTTTTTTTTAATAAGAAAGCACAACTGTAAAAGAAATGGTCAAGGAGATTCAGGAACAGATGTAGCTAGAGTACTGGAAATGAGGTTCACAAAGGTTTGTTCTGGCATTGTAAGGGTGCCTTAGTGTAAACCTTATTACTTTAGTATCCAAATACCTCACAATGCTAATGTACTTATCCTCACAACATTCCTGCAAAGTAGTGAACTGCTATTAACGATCTTCCAGGTGGCAAAATGAGACAGAGGCTAAGTGACATGCCCAAGGTCACATGAGTAAAGCAAAGAACTGAACTTGGAATTAAAGATAAAAGGAAAGGTCAGAGACAAAGACAGGTAACCATCATCATTTTGGCTGTAACCCGGCACTTCTGAAAAACCTGTAGGGTCTGAGTCTGCATAATGCCATTTACTATATTTGTAAAGGGCCTATCATAAGGGAGTTCTAAAGTGGTTGAGGCTTCTCAGTTCCACTGCAAATATAAATACATGTTGCACCTCCCTAAACCGGGACGGACTCTCATCAAGAGAACTCCAGTGCAGGAGGGCCAGTGCCTGAGAGCCCTACAAAAGATGAGGCTTGTAGTAGCAGGGCCAGGGCCTCAGCAACCCTGCAGTGGTAGCGGGGCAGGGGCAGCCTGGCAACCCAGCTGTGGCCAGGGCAGCCTGTGGGTGCCAGTCCAGCAGCGGGGTTGTGCTGCAGCAGCCCGAGCGGGGTAGTGTACTGGCCTGGCAGTGAGGACAGAGCTGCAGCAACCAGGCTGTGGCAGATCAGCAGGGGAAGCCCATCTGGGGCAGCAGCCTGATTGGAACCACATGCCGGCCAAGCAGCAAAGTTGGAACCGCAGCAGTGGGGTCAGGGCTGCGTGCTCCCATGTCGGCAGTGGGGCTGGGACACCTGTATTGCCCAGCTGGCAGCGGGGCTGAAGGAACGGCAGGCTGAGGGGGCTGGTGGCAGGGGACTTTCCTTAGTCCAGCAAACTCCCTCATGCAGGACTGCTCAGGTCCCGAGGGTGCCAGACCAGTGAGGTCCAACCTGTAGTAGCGTTAAAACTACTTTCAGTATTACTAGATGTCAAAGTAGTTGTTGCTTTTTCAACATAGTTATAATCTGGGAGAGAATAAACTGAAGATACCTGGTAATTTAACAAACAGAACTAAAAGTATGCCTTCAGATCAGTTAAAAGTAACTTCTTGGGGGTAAATTAATCCCTATCTTATTGGAATGAGGAAACTAGTAGTATTGTGAACACCAATTTCTGTAGTACTTTCCCTGTGCACTACACAATAGTGCAGCAGAACCCAGAGAGCCTAATCCGGATTGGAGCCGCAATGTATTGTAAGCCTAGCATGTACATAGTCCATGCCCTGAAAAATTACAGCCAAGATGACAAGTTAAATGGATAAACACAAAGACACATGATTTTTTTTATGTATACGCACATTTTACTATAGGTAAAAAAATCATTAACCTCATGATGGATTTGCTGGGCTCCCCCTCCTCCCCTCCAACACTGATCATTTTAAAGGAGGAAACAGTCGATAGCTATAGCTTCCAGACCATAAGTACAATTCACAGATGACTGAGATTGTGTATGTAAAAGAAAAAAATATATATAAACTAGTTTCTTAGAATAGTATCCAACAGTTAAGTCTTTCACAGCAATGAATTGATGGTCCACAAGAGGGATGTTAACAGAATTTTGACTAGTCGATTCCCCTCCGCCCCCCGCTGCCTATGAGATAGAGGCAGCAGAGGAGCTGCTTGAAAGTGGCAGCACCTTGAAACCCAAAGGCGGCCGCTGCATAGCTGATCAAGGAGAGGGGAGGGTACTTCAAAGTGGCAGCACCTTGAAACCCAAAGGCGGCCGCTGCATAGCTGATCCGTAGAACGCTGCACATTTGAAATGCCCCCGCGCATTTCAAAGGGGCAGCTGCTGTGGTGCCCAGGATCAGCTGGGGACTCCCAGCTGACTCTGGGTTCCACACGGCATTTCCCCAGAATCCGGGATCAGCTGTGGAGTCCCCAGCTGAGGACTCTCATGCATTTCAAAGCAGGCGCGCAGTGTGCAGCCCGGAGTCAGCGGGACTTCCCACTGGCTCTGGGCTGTACACAGAGTTTTGCATTCCTCCTCTGAAATGTAGAAGAACCCTTGCTGGGGAAGTGCCTATCAACTAGTGGATGGAAATTCTGTCGACTAGTCAATTAACTGCATTTTAACACCCTTAGTCCATTAGTTCAGGATGTTATTTTATCCAGAAGAGCCAAAGCCATGCTTGCTTGTCTTTTCATATTCCCATACAGATTCAAAACAGACTGCCTGCAGGATTTATAACTTCATCATTTTGTTTGCACCTTTCACAACCTTATTCGGATATATAAACTTGCCCACATTTTAGCAGTCAAAAGAAGCGATTAAGGGTTTAGTTCTTCGCAATGATGCAGCAAATTAAAAACAACAATTTAGTAGAATTTCAGGACTGTAAGTTTGCTTTGGAAGCCGTTGTATTTTGAAGTGACAAATAGGTAATAAACAGTTAGTCCAGAGTTCATATCACTATGGATGAGCAACAAAACTTTCATTTTTCTTTCTGCATAACACATATGAAATGCATAACATTTAGCCCAAAGAATACTTGCTATATACACTAAAAATCAAGAATTACCAAGACCTTTGTAGCTTCCAATCACATTTATCCCCAATACTACAGGACCAGAAAGGAATTACAGGCAGTCCCCGGGTTACGTACAAGATAGGGACTGTAGGTTTGTTCTTAAGTTGAATTTGTATGTAAGTCGGAACTGGTACATATTGTAGGGGAAACTCTAGCCAAACATTTCTCCAGAGCTCAGTTTTATTCTCCCACACCTCACTTCCCTCAGTCCTTTATTCTCAAGCTGAGGTGTCTGCTGAGAAAAGCCGCTCCGCGTCTCCCTGGTCTGCTGGGGGCGGCGCTAGCTTCGCGTCTCCCTGGTCTGCTGGGGGGTAGCAGCTAGTGCAGGGTTGCCTCACCCCGTTTGTAAGTAGGGATCTGATGTAAGTCGGATCCATGTAACCCGGGGACTGCCTGTACCTACATGTATCCTAAAATCCAAAGTTTAAGGTTTTAGAGAGTCCATTATTCATAGGTTTCAACATTAATATCTGCATCACACCAACCTAAGCACTACACTAACCTGACCATGACATATCTGAAATCCCCTTTATTATTTGCACATAAGAAAGATGACAGGTACTTACAGTGCAAGTGACACACACAGCACCAAAGGACCCCAAAGATCCCCTGAAGTAAGGGAAAAAAGCAGCAAGACATCAGATAATGATTTTCAGAACAGTGTCTCTCTAGCATAAAAGAGTATTAAACAACTCAGTGTATTCTCTTTCCAGTTCCCAATACCATAACTACCATAGCAACACCTGGTACTATATACTAAATATAAAGATGCATACAAATTAAAAATGTCTAGACTCATTCTGATAAACAGTTCACTTCAAATACATGCCAATGTTGTTCTCTCTCTTCATACAACAGCCTCATTTGCTTGTGTTATTCTACATCTTGCAGAATAAAAACCCATATAGCTATTTTATTCTCCAAATATTTCATTAAAGCAAAGACTTTATCCAACGCTTGCAGTATCTTTTAGGAATATTTGTCTTGTAATGTTTGTCTCCGCAAGATTTTTAAAATCTGATACATACAGTCTCTGAGGAGTGCGCTGCTCTTTTTGGGATACATGACATGCACAAATTTCTTTCCAACTGCCTTTAGGTCTCGCATCTGAAACACATAAATGACAACATTTATAGCACACGATTTCACAGGTACTGAAACATTAATAAAAGGAAGGAGAAAATACTTTTGCAAGCTATGAATCATTACATAGCACTGGTATTAAATCAAGAGATATTTGGTCAGATGTTTCTATATCATACCTTAACAGTATAAAAATTAGATTCAAATCAACTCAGAGCTGGATAATGAGTCTAAATGCATGAAGTTCACTAGATTCCTCTTTATATCCAGCTAATAATGTTATTTGCTTGCTACTCCAAGAAGAGATTTTATTGTCTGGCTAATTCCCCATCCCTGCTTGATGCCCTGACAACTACAAAAGTTTTCAGTGGTTCACAGTGAACAAGTTTCAGGATTTTTATCACAACCAATTACAAGGCGAGCAAACCATCTAACATTCCAAGAGATCAGCAAAATTCCATGTATTACCACAGACACAGTAATGCAGTTGTTTTTAGACCCCATAAAATGTCAAATGGAGGTGTGGACCCCTTTGGAAATCTGAGGCATAGTTGGCAAACTTGCATGAGACTACAGATAACAGATTCAAAAGCACTGAAGTAAGGGATATAAACTCACAATAGTATCCTTAACAGGCTCATCCAATGTGGAGTAATCTTCATCAGGGGAATGAGATCCAACAGGAACTGTGATCTCCCCTTCCACTGGAATATCTTCTGATATTGACACATCTGAAAGACCTGCAAACTACACATTTAATTTATTTTTATAATACAGAAATAGCTTCATGTTTTCCTAGGGCTTTTTCTGCAGACTATTTAAATAAATGAATTTGTATTCGAGTAGTAGTCTCCCTAGTCCAAACAATTCACTCACAACTAAGAGACAAGCTGTTACGTCTGAGCAGAAGAGATAATACATACAAAGGTTATTTCATTTTCCTTGTCAGTAACCTCTAAGATCCTCCCTCCCCTATTACCATATGACTCATGTTTGTACTTATTTACATTGCAAGCTCCCTGGGTCAGGCTACAAGACTTGTCTGTGGTCTGTAAAGATGTGTGCACACTGATGCTGCTACATTAAGTTTATAATGGCAACTACAATGCCACATGCTTAGTATACCATGAATGGAAGATCCACTTTGAAGTGAGCAATTTATTCAGAACCCCATATAAATTAGACATAATGAAGTTTATGTGGCGTGTACCTCTTGAAGGCTAAGATCACGTGTTTCTCCCCCACTGATTACTGGGATTTTTACACCTATTGTTGAGTGATGCAATTAACTAATGAATAGCTTGGTGTGCTGAAGGGAATCCTGCTCAGGAAGGTTTACCACGTGACAGAGGAGAGAATGGGTTTCTCAAACAATACTGCTGCTGTGCTTGACTCTAGCATGGGGGGGGGGGCAGCCACGCCTCCCCCCTCGTCCCCGCTCTTTTCACGTGTTTGTAACTCGGAGACAGTTGCACTGATGAAGCAACGGCCGGGAAGGGGCTTCCTCAAGGTCTCCCAGAATGTTAGCGGCAGAGATGGGAACCAACCTGCCCTGGTCGAGCCGCCTCTTCTCCCCAGTCAAGGGCAACCCCCCGGAACCCACGAGCCTCCCACGGCCTCTGGGCCCTTCCCCAGTCCAACCGCTGAGCCGGCCCCCTCCCCCAAGCCACGAAGAGAACCCAGGCGTCCGAGCGCGCTCCCTGCCCCGCTCCGCCCCCCACCCAGGCGTAGCGGCGCTGGGTCTCCCCCGATACCTCCCACCGCCGGCAGGCACCGGGGGGCCCCGGCCCCTTCCTCACCAAGGGTTTGGCGGTTGCCCCAGCCCTGCTCTCCTCCGGGTTGAGGCGACGTGGAGACGGATCCAGCGCCTCATCGCTCCGCGCAGCGCGCGTAGAGATTGCGTCAGCCGTCCGAGTAGCCGTGGCAACGCCAGAGCCCGCCCCTGGAGATAGCTGGGCTGACAGCCCAGATTTAAAGGGGCAGCGCACAGCCTCAGCAGGGGGCGTTCCCAGTCTCCAGTGTCTGGCAAAACACACGCACGCACCAGATGTGCGTGTCCAAACAGCTGCCTTAGGGGAGCTGCGTGTAGGGGGGCTATGACAGGTCCATCTAGCCCAGCGTCCCGTCTTCAGACAGTGGCCAATGCCAGGTGCCCCAAAGGGAGTGAACAGAGAAGGTAATGGTGAAGTAATGGATCCCCTCTTGCCCATTCATAGATGGCTAGTGTTCCATTCCTGCCCATCCTGGCTAATAGTCAGTGATGGGCTTGTCCTCCATGAGTTTATCTAGCCCTTTTTTTAAACCTGTTACAGTCTTGGCATTCACAAAATCCTCTGGCAAGGAGTTCCACAGGTTGACTGTGTGTTGTGTGAAGAAATACATCATGTGGTTTGTTTTAAACCCACTACCTATTAATTTCATTTAGTGACTCCTAGTTCTTGTTTTATGGGAAGGAGTAAATAACTCTTCCTTATTCACTTTCTTCACAACAGTCATGATTTTATAGACCTCAGTCAGATCCCCTTTTAGTCATCTCTTTTCCCAGTCTTATTAATTTCTACTTGTATGGCAGCCGTTCCATACCTCTAATAATTTTTGTTGTCTTTTTCTGAACTTTTTACAGTGCCAAAAAATCTTTTTTAAGATGAGGCAACCACATCTGCATGCAGTATTCAAAATGTGGGCATACCATGGATTTACAAGAAGCAATAAGATATTCAATGTCTTATTCTCTAACCCTTTAATGACTCCTAACATTCTGTTTGTTTGTTTTTTGACAGCTTCTGCCCACAGAGTGGATGTTTTCAGGGGACTATCTTCAATGACTTCAAGGTCTCTCTATTGAGTGGTAACAGCTAATTTAGTCCACATCATTTTATATGTATAATTGGGATTACGTTTTCCAATATGCATGACTTTGCATTTATCAACATTAAAATTCATCTGTCATTTTGTTGCCCAGTCACCTGGTTTTGTGAGATCTTTTTGAAGCTCTTCATGGTCTGCTTTAGACTTAGCTATCTTAAGCAGTTTTGTATAGCAGATCAGGACTGAATTGACATCAGCAGAGTTTGTGGAAGAAGGCCTTGTACGTTGCTTGGCTAAAATCCATACTATCTGTCATCCCTTAGTGTCAGCTTCAATAAACTGTGGTACAGTTTTGAAATAGATGTTATTAACCAGTTTCCTTCCTATTTTAGTAGTGGCATAACAATTAGAAGAGGAACCTTCCTGTTTAACATGTAAACAAACAGTTTTCCACATTACTGTAGTGTAAAGGGCGTTTGTTTGAAGAATGCATACACAAAAGATGATGAAAACACCAACATTTTGACCTTCAGATAAGACTCTATGGCCAATATGTTAATTGATCATCTTCTCTTGTTAATATAACCTGAAAATATTAAAGAATTGTGCAGGTCAATAAGGGAGATTTTATTAAGCTTCTTTAATAGTACTGAATTACATTCAGAAGCTAATATGATTTTACTCTTCTTTTCTGTTCAGAGTATGTTGCTGGCAAAAAGAAGGAATATTTAGTTTTACTAATCAGAGGTTGGACTTCCCTGGTCTGACATCCTTGGGACCTGACCAGTCCCAAATGAGGAACTTTGCTGGACCAGGGGATGTGGAAGTGGAAGACAGTATAGGGGACAGTGATCATGAAATAATAGAGTTCATGCTCTTAAGGAAAGGTAGAAGGGAGACCAGCACAATTGAGGTAATGGATTTCAGGAAGGCAGATTTTGATAAGCTCAGAGAACTTGTAGGTAAGGTCCCATGGGAAGCAAGACTGAAGGGAAAAACAACTGAGGAGAGTTGGAAGTATTTCAAAGGGACGTTGTTAAGGGCCCAAAAGCAAACAATTCCGCTGTGTAGGAAAGATAGAAAATATGGCAAAAGACCAGCTTGGCTTAACAAGGAGATCTTGCACGATCTCAAAATAAAAAAGGAGTCATATAAAAAATGGAAACTAGGACAAATAACAAAGGATGAATATAGGCAAGCAACACGGGAATGCAGGGGCAAGATTAGAAAGGCAAAGGCACAAAATGAGATCAAACTAGCTACAGGCATAAAGGGAAACAAGAAGACCTTTTATAAATACATTAAAAGCAAGAGGAAGACCAAGGACAGGGTAGGCCCACTGCTCAGTGAGGAGGGAGAAGCAGTAACAGGAAACTTGGAAATGGCGGAGATGCTCAATGACTTCTTTGTTTCGGTCTTCACCGAGAAGTCTGGAGGTGTGCCTAACGTAGTGAATACAAGCAGAGAGAGGGTAAGTTTAGAAGATAGGATACACAAAGAACAAGTTAAAAATCACTTAGGAAAGTTAGATGTCAGCAAGTCACCAGGTCCTGATGAAATGCATCCCAGGATACTCAAGGAGCTGATAGAGGAGGTATCTGAGCCTTTAGCTATGATCTTTGAAAAATCATGGCAGACAGGGGAGATTCCAGAAGACTGGAAAAGGGCAAATATTGTGCCCATCTATAAAAAGGGGAATAAGAACAACCCAGGAAACTACAGACCGGTCAGTTTAACGTCTGTCCCAGGGAAGATAATGGAGCAGGTAATTAAGGAAATCATATGCAAACACTTGGAAGGTAATAAAGTGATAGGGAATAGCCAGCATGGGTTTGTGAAGAACAAGTCATGCCAAACTAATCTGATAGCTTTCTTTGATAAGATAACGAGCCTTGTGGATAAGGGAGAAGCGGTGGATGTCATATACCTAGACTTTAGTAAGGCATTTGATACGGTCTCGCATGATATTCTTATTGATAAACTAGGCAAATATAACTTAGATAGGGCCACGATAAGGTGGGTGCATAATTGGCTGGATAACCGTAGTCAGAGAGTTGTTGTTAACGGTTCTAAATCCTGCTGGAAAGGGATAACAAGTGGAGTTCCTCAAGGGTCTGTTTTGGGACCCATACTGTTCAATATCTTCATCAATGATGTAGATATTGGGATAGAGAGTACGCTTATTAAGTTTGCAGATGATACCAAACTGGGTGGGGTTGCAACTTCTTTGGAGGATAGGGACATAATTCAAAATGACCTTAGCAAGTTAGAGAAATGGTCAGAGGTAAACAGGATGAGGTTTAATAAAGAGAAATGCAAAGTGCTCCACTTAGGAAGGAACAATCAGTTCCATACATACAAGATGGGAAGCGACTGTCTAGGAAGGAGCATGGCAGAAAGGGATCTAGGGGTCATAGTGGACCACAAGTTGAATATGAGTCAACAGTGTGATGCTGTTGCAAAAAAAGCAAATATGATTCTAGGTTGTATCAACAGGTGTGTTGTAAGCAAAACTCGTGAAGTCATTCTGCCGCTCTACTCTGCACTAGTTAGGCCTCAGCTGGAGTACTGTGTCCAGTTCTGGGCGCCACATTTCAAGAAAGATGTGGAGAAATTGGAAAGGGTACAGAGAAGAGCAACAAGAATGATTAAAGGTTTAGAGAACATGACCTATGAAGCCAGGCTTCATGAACTGGGCTTGTTTAGTTTGGAAAAAAGAAGATTAAGGGGGGACATGATAGCGGTTTTCAAATATCTAAAAGGGTGTCACAAGGGTTCTTGTTGATAGACTAGGCAAATGTAACTTAGATGGGGCCACGATAGGGTGGGTGCATAATTGGCTGGATAACCGTAGTCAGAGAGTTGTTGTTAACGGTTCTAAATCCTGCTGGAAAGGGATAACAAGTGGAGTTCCTCAAGGGTCTGTTTTGGGACCCGTACTGTTCAATATCTTCATCAATGATGTAGATATTGGGATAGAGAGTACGCTTATTAAGTTTGCAGATGATACCAAACTGGGTGGGGTTGCAACTTCTTTGGAGGATAGGGACATAATTCAAAATGACCTTAGCAAGTTAGAGAAATGGTCAGAGGTAAACAGGATGAGGTTTAATAAAGAGAAATGCAAAGTGCTCCACTTAGGAAGGAACAATCAGTTCCATACATACAAGATGGGAAGCGACTGTCTAGGAAGGAGCATGGCGGAAAGGGATCTAGGGGTCATAGTGGACCACAAGTTGAATATGAGTCAACAGTGTGATGCTGTTGCAAAAAAAGCAAATATGATTCTAGGTTGTATCAACAGGTGTGTTGTAAGCAAAACTCGTGAAGTCATTCTGCCGCTCTACTCTGCACTAGTTAGGCCTCAGCTGGAGTACTGTGTCCAGTTCTGGGCGCCACATTTCAAGAAAGATGTGGAGAAATTGGAAAGGGTACAGAGAAGAGCGACAAGAATGATTAAAGGTCTAGAGAACATGACCTATGAAGCCAGGCTTCATGAACTGGGCTTGTTTAGTTTGGAAAAAAGAAGATTAAGGGGGGACATGATAGCGGTTTTCAAATATCTAAAAGGGTGTCACAAGGAGGAAGGAGAAAATTTGTTCCTCTTGGTTTCTGAGGACAGGACAAGGAGTAATGGGCTTAAAGTGCAGCAGGGGAGGTTTAGATTGGACATTAGGAAAAAATTCCTAACTGTCAGGGTGGTCAAATATTGGAATAAATTGCCAAGGGAGGTGGTGGAATCTCCCTCTCTGGAGATATTTAAGAACAGGTTAGATAGACATCTGTCAGGGATGGTGTAGACAGAGCTTGATCCTGCCTTGAGGGCGGGGGGCTGGACTCGATGACCTCTCAAGGTCCCTTCCAGTCCTATGATTCTATGATTGAAATAATCTGAAGGGCTGTGCCTGTGCTGGCATTCACGGGGTTCATACCCCGCTGAGGGAGAGCAGCTCCTTGCTGTGTTGCCACCAGCCCCAAACCTGCCACTTCTCTGCAGCACCAGCTCTGCTTCCCCCAACCCCAGCCCTAGCCCTAGCCCTAGCCCTAGCCCTAGCCCTGCTGCTGATGAACCTCCTGCCACTAGGCTCCTAGCCCCAGGGCTCTCTGGTCCAGGAACATTGGGATATTGCCAGACCGGAGAGTCCCAGTTATGGGAGGTGTAACTTGTAATAACTTTCCCTTTTTAAGAGGATAAACATGTTCTGCATTAACAGAAAACAAAAAAGAAGGTTGAAGAAGAAAACACAATCAAACTTACTTACTCCCTTGTATAAATTGGAAACATATTCTATCCCTCCTAGTCCTTGAGAACAAATGTGCAGCAGAGTACACATAGTATGGAGATTTTATCAGTATAAAAGTTGTGATGTTTTACTGTGTTCTAAATAAGACATTTGAATGAAATAATGAGGATTATATGATTAATTTTTGAAAACTGAAAATAATGTATAAAATAGCATGCTGATTATACAAGCAAAAACATGGGGTTTTTTTGCCTACTGTTGCCTATAAAAGTGTACAGGTCATAGGAATTTAGGACAAAGGTTTCAGCACTAACTTGCTGATTTAAAGTGGCACTTTCAAAGTTTATTTTTAAAGGACAACTTAAATGCTCAGTTCAATAATAAAAGAAAAATCCGTTCTTGAAAATAGAGTTTGTAGCTTCAATCCTGCAAAGATTTCATACACTTTATGCATTGTGTGTAATTCCATTGGGATCACTCACAAAACATAATGTTTATGCTTACCATATGCATAAATTTATCCTTAGCATATGCATAAATCTTCACAGGCTTAGTGTCTATACTTTCAATTCCCTTTTCTGTGTCTGCAGCTAGTAATTTTATTGAAAGACATATGTTAGATTCACCGTTTGAAAAGCCAATGTGACGTCTTGTTAACTATGCTCAACAATGCAATAATGCTAGATTATTAATCGGAATAACAACTTTACTAATTGAATTATGGGTCTTCTGTGTAAAGTAACCCAATGTGTGGTTCAGCATTAATTGTCAAAAATTTTCAGAGTGATATATCTTTATTTACAAGTAAACAAACAGTTGCATTGCACAAAAGCAACAGATGGCAGAATTGAGCTCTACAATTGAACTTTAATTAACATTTCTGTAGATAATGCATGAGTTGGAATGTAATCCAGCTCATTCACCTATGGCAATGTTGGTGTTTATTTTTGTACTTAAAGGCAGCATGTATGGAATTATGCATATTGTAGCATCTCCTAGCTTAAAGTGGTTTCTGTCATATATATGGTTTACAGTTTAGTTCAATGACTGTCAACACCTCGCATTATACAGA